AGATCGGTTTCGTTGAGGAGTTTCGTAACTCGTTGCCGATCGGATAAGCCTGTTCTTCTCAGAACAGCTGTGTTAAACTACCTCGTAAGTCTTTTGGTCGTCAGAAAGATCTAGAAGGTCATCAATGTTATGGATGACATTTAGCGGAAGCGCGGAAACGACCAGGTGGAACTTGGTCTTTTCGGACCTAATACCACGCAAAGAAAATTGCGACTCTAGCTGACCAAACCAAGACTTAGGATTAGTCTCGCGAAAAGGTGCGATAGGAAGCGTAACTGTGCCGATCTGAACGTCAGGATCTATGCGATCAGTTTCCATAGCGAGCAAAATAGCGAGCCAGCGAGGTTAAACCGGAAAATGAAAAGTAAAAATCAGACGGGGTAGCGAAAAAAGGTGGCCAAAGCTGAAAAGAAAGGTTAGCGAAAACTCACCGGATAATGACCAAAAGTCGGGGTCACCAATAAAGCGGGAAGCAGGATCGGTACGCTTTGGAACCAATACGCGAATATAAGGCCAACCTCCCATGAGTGGAGAACACCAAAAGTAACGCTAGGAAAAATTTATTAAGTTGGGCGAAACGCTATCTAGTACTAAAAATAAGGCACCGGAAGATAGCTAGCTAGGGGACAGGTGTGGTCGCGTGCGCGGAGAGCAAAGATGGCCGCGGAACCGATGAGCGTCGCGCCGTTCGAAGGCGGATGCTATGTTGACTCAAACAAACACGAGCAACGTTCAAACAGGCGAGCGGCTAATTTGCTATGTACATCGAGAAAATATAATTTTGTGATTTTGTAATATTTTACGCAGCATGCGGCAGCCAAACAGGGGAACCTCCAGGTCACTACCACTGCCCCTAACCTCATTATCACATGATATTGTGTTGTTCGGTTTGCACATGCTCCCGCTTTTCACCATTATAGTACCAAGAATATTCTACCAAGTCACAGTGCTGGGAGATTCTCGCTTACTAGCACAGGAAACGGGACGCGTGTTTAGCGGAAGCTTAGTTCGTCCCAGGATACTGTCCTATCCTGTCCAGTCAGCCCACTGGCGCGACCGCACGTGAGCGTTGAGACCCGGATATGCCAGCGTCAGTGTCCTAGTATTCTGGAGATAATCAGGTCCCGGTGAAAGCCAATAAGACTGGCTGGTGCTCAGTAGTGAGTATAGGTATCTTGTCTGGCTATTTTTAAGTCGGCGCACATTGACAAATATCACGTGCAATCCGCTATCTAGACATTTATGCGGGGTCGCAGCAGAATTGGCTGCTAGCTAGTTCTCTGGGTTTTCAGAACAACGCGAAAAGCCACAATATGAAGAATACTTTCACAGTACGCTCCGCGAGTTTGTAGTTCGTTGACGGCTTGTTTCAATCCGACTTTATCTTCTGGGGAAAGGTTCTTCAATACAAAGTTTTCTCCTTTGAGACGCGGGGTACGCTTGAGGACGCGGCGACATGTATCTTCGTCTTGATAGACGACTTTTAGCGGGCGTGTCTTGGTTGGAGGTTCCTGTTACCTATATAGGCGAAAAGCAGCGAATGGGTTGATACCTTGCTCGCCTTCATCGAATGGGATGGATGCCATCCACTTCAAAAGCGTTTCGTGGTCAAGCATTCTCTCGTTTCTTTATTCTATTTGAAACCTTCTATCAGTGCCTCTAGCCAACAGGATTATACGTTCCGGCAATAAATGTCTATCGCGGTCAGTTATTCGTCTCCGTCCAACTTAGTCTATAACGACCGAGTGACTCCGCTAGCAGATAAATGAAAATTTGCTCGGTTTGATTATACACTCAGAAATTAAATGTCACTGCACTTTTCTACTACTTCAGCACCTCTCAAATCTCCGGAACTACTATCTCTTCCCGAATCCCTCTGGATTCGCGTCCGCGGCTCTGGTTCCACCAGTCTCACCCTTGGAGTGGTTTATCGCCCTCCCTCAGCTGCGCCAGAATGGCTGCGATGCTGGAACGCCGCCCTCCGAGCAGCTACTTCAGATTTGGGTGCCCCCTACTCGTCGCAGGTGGCTTTAATTTCCCGGAGATTGACTTTACCTCTGGCCAAGCTCGCAGTCAGCACAGCCTTGAGTTTCTTGCTAGTGTTCTAGAACATGGCTTAACCGAACACGTACAGCAGTACACTCGGTGGCCAGACGGTCAAAACCCGTCGAAACTCGACTTGCTGCTCACCAACGAGCCACATCTAATTGACAACGTTAATTTGAGCGCCCCAGTTGGTGCAAGCGATCATGTAGTTATCAGTTTTCGTGTGGTGGCGAACGTCATGCTCAACGCTAAAGCACTGCCCATCAGGCTTAACCTTCGTCGAGAGGACTATGACGCCATCAAAGATTTCCTCTCACGAGTCGACTGGTCCCTGGCAGCACAAACCCCCACAGTCGACGACCATTGGAACTACATCGCCGCTCACATCCACGACGCAATTAGGGTACACGTCCCCACAGTGCGCGCTTATGCGCCGAAACGCCACAGGCAACTTCAGCCTGCTACGCTTAGACTGATCAGGGAGAAGAAAGCCCTCTGGGACAGATTCTTACTTTTTGGCGACTCTGATTCGCGAGCATAATGCTGTAGAGTGCGAAATTCCTGTATAGCAGCTGTTCGCCAGGACAGAAAAGCGTACCAGCTCTCTCTCGCTAAAAGCTTCACCGATAACCCCAAGGTCCTCTTTAAGCATATAGCGTCTCTCACTAAATCGCGCGCTGCCGTTGGCAGCCTGCTCGGACCCGTAGGCCATACCACAACGTCGGACAAAGAAGCTGCGGAATTGCTGAAGACTCAGTATGAGTCCGTTTTCGGCACCTTCGCATGCAGTACAATGGAAGGCGCTAACTTTACCCCCATCACTGCCAGACATCCCGTGCAGTTTACATCAGAGAAAGTCCTGGAGAAATTAAAAAAATTAAGGACAGACAAATCGCCGGGTTTGGATGGGATCCCTCCCATTTTTCTACGTGTGTGCGCCACTGTACTGGCCGAGCCGCTTGCCTTACTGTACAGCCGCTCCTACACCAGTGCCGAATACCCGAACGCTTGGAAGCAAGGGGTCATAACGCCGATATACAAGGGTGGTGACAGGACAAACCCCTCTAATTACCGCCCGATAGCACTGCTTTCCACTGCCTCCAAAGTAATGGAGAGTATCGTAGACGATTTCTTGCGCTGCCATTTAGAAAGTCTGTCCTTAATAGCCCCGGAACAGCACGGGTTCCGGAGGGCTCACTCGTGCACAACGAATCTTCTCGCAGCCCTTGATTCCTGGACTGCAGAGGCAGACAATCATACTCCAACTGACGTGGTTTACGTGGATTTCTCAAAAGCATTCGACCGGGTCAATCACGCACTGCTGTTGAGTAAACTGCCGAGTTTGGGGATCGACCAGCAAACAATCTGCTGGCTAAGTACCTACCTGTCTGGCCGCACCTATCGAGTTCGTGTAAACGGCGCACTCTCCAGCGCTCTGGCTGCAACGACCGGGGTGCCCCAGGGATCCATCCTCGGGCCCCTGCTGTTCAATTTGTTCATCAACGACCTCCCATCCTGTATCAGCAGCCACATACTGCTTTATGCGGACGACGCTAAGATATGGCGACCTATCCGCAGGCCAAGTGATCAGGCACTTCTCCAGACAGACATCGATGCTGTTTATTCTTGGGCCTAGAAAAATGCGCTCCCGTTTAACATCGACAAGTGCAAAGTCATGCACATTGGGCAAGGTGTGGCCAATCCGTACAATATCGGCGGTGTGCATCTTAAAGCCACATCCCAGGAACGCGACCTGGGGACCATAATATCCGCCGACCTGAGCCCGAGCGTCAATGTAGCTACACTGGCGCGAAAGGCTAGCGTTCGCCTGGCCCTCCTTGGACGTGCACTAGGGTCTTTCCCTAGAGAGACATTTGTCCGTCTCTATAGCACTTTAGTACGTCCGCTGCTGGAGTACAACATACTTGTCCAGCCGCCGTACCTGAAGAAGGACGAGGCCATGCTGGAAACTGTACAGCGCAGAGCCACTAAGAGAGTGGACGGACTATCCCACTTCTCGTATGAGGAGCGTCTGGCGGCCCTTAACCTCTTCCCGTTGAAATATCGCAGGCTTCGTGGCGACCTTATCTTAGTTTATTCCGTCCTGACTAATAACAGACACCCAAACGCAGGATTGCTGGTCCGCGCTCGTACAGATCATCTTCGAGGGCACTCACTCAAACTGATGACTCGTAGCAGTCGCCTTCTGTGCCGAAGAAACAGTTTCAGTGTGCGTACTGCCTTCGCTTGGAACGCCCTCCCCGAAGCTGTTGTCTCAGCGCCCAATACGGAGGCCTTCAAACAGCGCCTAGACGCTTGGCTCTTACCTCGCTGGTCTTCAACGTTCCTAAGATCTGGCCATTTGCCAAGCTAACACGCGGCGCTTCTATCATTTTGCTTCTATCCAACTTTGCCGAATTTACCTACACCACTCTCTTGTTCCAGGTATCCACGTTCCCACAGCAAACTCGCTGAATTCTTGTGCTGAACACCACTACTGCGTCGAGAACCACAACATCTGGTACCTACCGACGAGATCAGGACCTTGCCGTAAGATCCCGAGGCAGAACCACCGAAAAGCTACGCTTACTCGTTCTGCGCAAACCCGTGAAACCCGTGAATTGGAATGGGATCTAATAATCACCCTAAGTAGGCAGGGCTGTTAATTTTCATCATGAGAGGGCGAGCGTTAGTTGATGCTCCGTAATGTCTTAGCCAAAGCTTAAGTGTGCCTGGAAGTGCATTGCTTTGATAATTATTCAGAATGATATATAAAATATCTCTAGACTTACATGCTCTATAAACTTAATTCTGTGCGTTGAGGTACCGCAAAATAAAGCAAAACGCAGACTATATATAAAGTTAACACGTAAAGTTACTGTTTTATTGTTAACCAATCATAACTCCCTCACGTGTTGATACGTTGCGCAACCTCGTTGTTTATCTAGCTCAATGTTGATTTCTTTACCGCGTCTATAGCGTCGCTGAGGTCCTACCGACATCTTTTTGTCGTTTTCCGTCCACGCGCTTGTAACCCTCGACCTCCGCTGATAATAAATCGCGCACTCCATCAACTGGTCAATTCGACTATTGACACTTTTAATTTAAATGCCTTCAATGCAGTACAGACGGCGCGGTTATTCACGGTCACCTCGGCGAAAGTAAGCGTTGTTTCGTTGTCTTCAATCCTGTAGCAGTTTCAGACGTTTCAACGAACCCGGCCGTAGACTGAGGCAGGTTGATTGGAGTGCTTATTCACTTTCGCGATTCGAGAAAAAGTTTTACCAAGAATGCAGCAGCGTCCGCGACCGTTCCCGACGGGATATCGAGGAGTTCCGCGCCAAGGAAAAAGTTACTGTTTTAGGCCACAATGTTCCACGTCCTTTGTTTAAATTTCACGAGGCCGGTTTCCCTAGCTACATTTTAAAGGTTATAAAGAAGAATCGTTGGGATACCCCTACTCCCATTCAAGCGCAGGGTTGGCCTGTCGCATTGAGCGGCCGTGACCTAGTCGGCATCGCTCAGACTGGGTCTGGAAAAACCGCCAGTTTCTTGCTTCCTGCCTTGGTCCACGCGAAGGCGCAACCTAGTCTGAAACGCGGAGATGGCCCTATAGTGCTCATACTTGTGCCCACGCGTGAGCTGGCTCAGCAGGTTGAAAAAGTCGCGGAAGAGTTTTGCTCATATTCAGGTTTTCGCTCGGCTTCACTCTATGGTGGGGCTTCTAGAGGTGCCCAGATCGATCAGCTTAACCGATCTCCTGAAGTCGTAATAGCTACACCTGGACGGTTGCTAGACTTCCTGGAATCAAAAGATACAAATCTGCGCCGTTGCACCTATCTTGTCCTCGATGAGGCGGATAGGATGTTGGATATGGGCTTTGAGCCATCGATTCGAAAAATAATTTCACAGGTACGACCGGATCGACAAACTCTGATGTGGTCAGCTACGTGGCCTCGAGAAGTGAAGGCACTTGCTGAAGATTACCTCTACGACTACATACAAATCAATATTGGATCTACGAAACTAAGCGCAAATCATAACATTAAGCAGCACGTTGAAATCGTGAAAGAATCGGAAAAGTTTCGACGACTTGTCAGCTTGATAAAATCATTCGGCGATACTCGCGTTTTGGTGTTCACAGAAACAAAGAGGCGCACGGACGAAATTTGCAACCGTCTTCGTGATAAAGGATTTGATGCCTCAGCAATGCACGGCGACAAGCATCAGAGAGAGCGCGATAGAGTTCTTGAACGTATGTAGCAGTTCGTTCACTTACCATTATGCTTTAGATTTTCGCTCCGGGCGCATCAACGTCCTCGTTGCAACCGACGTAGCTTCGCGCGGTCTCGGTAAGTCAGTCTACTTTTGCATGCTCTTCCTTTCTTTCACTGTCTTAACAGTCTTTCTCTTGTTCGAATGTCGCCTACCAGGACTTGAGGCTCTACCGAGCAGAAAATCTGGCAGACGCCGTTCCTAACGGTTTCTGTGATATCGCGCCCTCTGGCCCCACTCGGTCGATAACCGAGTGAGCTAACTGGTCCCCAATCAGTTAGCGTTCTCATCGGAAGCATGAATGTCGTTGACGTTGCGTCAGCTTCAGTCGACGAGTATCTTCAACCCGCTCTGACAAACTTGGCTGTCAGTTCTCTGCTTTCTTCTTGGAGTCATTGATTACCATTGGGTCTGGTCGGCTTTCCGCGTGTCTGTCTGACCACTGTTGGAGTGGTTACGAAGCCGGTGACCGAGTTGGTTAGCACTTGGCTCCTTTCCTCCTCGAGCGTCTGTTGGTCTCACCGATCCAACATTTTCTTGGCCGCTTGCGCATCACCCACTCGGCCTTCTCCAAGTGTCAGGTCGGTTCCTATAAGTCTAATGTGCTGCTGCCTTTGTTCGTTCTATCATTCTCGATGGGTGAGCTTGCCTTTCACGTAACCGGCTCCTTATATATGCTCTTTGATCGGTTGTCCGCTTTCCGACTTTTAGACATTGAAAATATTCGTTACATTGTGAATTACGATTACCCCTCGCAAACTGAAGATTACATACACAGAATAGGAAGAACGGGCAGGAGTGACAAGAAGGGCACAGCTTATACATTCTTCAATGCCAAGCAACCCCGATTGGTAAGCTTCAATTTCCCTTACTTCTCTGTACACAGGCTCGCGAACTCATCGAGGTTCTCAAAGAGGCCAAACAAGAAATCCCAAGCGAACTGTTAAAATTGTCCGAACAAAGCGAAAGAAGGCGCTGGGATAACGAACGTAAGCGAGGCCGCTCTGACTCTAGCCGTAGTCGCACACCCGTCCGTCGCCGAAGCTCAAGTGAAACAAGCCGTAGTTCCCGATCGGCTTCCGTTAAATCTCGATCACGGAGCTTATCCTTGAAGCGCGAAAAGTCGTCTTCCGCTGCTTTATCGAGTGTGGACAGCAACCGGAACCGTTCTAGGTCTGCATCCAGCCTTCGCAAGCGATCTGTGTCTCGGCGTTCAACTTCATCTACTTCAACTTCATCACACCAACGCTCTAACGGGAACAGAAATGGTCCTTCAAGGCGATCAGCTTCATCAGGCAGTCGGTATTCACACAAGTCTGAGCAACGAACACGGTCTTCGACTGCCTCTGTAAGTCCAAGACGATCTCAGTCAGAGTCACCTGGCGGAAAAATCCAAACTTCACGTCACACTAGTTTAGCGTCCAATAGTCCTAGGAGCAGCGTGAAATCGACTCCGAAGTCTCGAACACCATCTCCCGAGAATGACGTTGAGCGTGAGGCAAATCGCTCTATTTCACCAGTGTCTGAAAATCACCATGAATCGTCTGATCGATCTCGTTCGACCTCTTGCGAGCCCGAGTCTTCTTTTGTTAAGGAATCTTCTGATCCTCCACAAGAAGAGATGGTTTATAAAAGTCCTCCACAAGAAGAGCTTGTTAATAAAAGTTCTCCACAAGAAGAGACTATTGATCAAAGTCCTTCACAAGAACAAACACCCGGAGAAATTACTTCACCGGTACAAGAACGTGCTGCAAGTGGTGACTTCAATGGATCAATGAAAAGAGAGCTCGAAGAGTCTCCTCGGTCAGGGAAAGACAGTCAACGTGATGCTTCACCTTTAGAGGTCATTCCATCACCAAAGCCGCGCGTGCGGTCTAGATCTCGGGAGATGGAGTCACCTAACCGGAAACCAGTCAAAGCAGAATCACCCCGCCGTCGTTCCAGCACTCATAAATCTTCAAAAGAGGCTAAACGCAAATCGAACCGCCGTTCACGATCGAGGTCAAGCATTCGCCGAAGGCGATCTTCTTCACGAGCGTCCCGTGATAATAAGCACAAAAAACGTAGCAGTCCGAAGTCCCGGCGGCATTCGCGTTCGCGATCTAGGTCACCCAAACGCATGAAGAGAAACTACCGAAGTCGAAGCAGAAGGAGCAGAACTCCGCGTCGTTCTGATATGTCTCGGAGGAGGCGATGATTTCTTTGTTAATATACACACATAACCCCAACTTTATATTTTCTCCTGTTTTTTGGTCACATAATGGCAGTCGGTTTCCTGGTTTTGTGTACCACATCACTAATACTTTCCCGTCCGGTAGTCCGCAGAAATAAGCCTAGGTGACCTGCACCGAATTGTTTTTATTGATCTTGATGCCGTATCTTTTTGAAACTCGCAAGCCCATGTAAAAGTGGAGCGATACATTATCCATCGCACACGGGACTCCTACACTTGTCCGACTGGTGGCGGGATGACTCGTTCTTGGCTCCTAGTTCGTGAGCTGTTGGTTCGGGCTTGCATAGGTGCGGGACACTGAACTAGTACAGTTCGCACACAACTGTTGGCATTTGCTGAGCGTTGGCACGTTCCGTTTTGCATGTCATCCGATGCAGGTTGATGGTCAGTTGTTTGACTGTCGGTCCGCACTGCCTGATGATAACTAGAGCAAGCACACATGTATGTATGTATATTCATGTATGCGTTGCGTAGTCATTGACTCATCAAAAAAAGCAATAAAGCAACCATGCACCGCTTTCCACGTACCCATTTTCTCTTATAGTCTTCACTGTTTAGAGCATTGAACATGCGGATCAAGACAGTTATGTACGCAGTTGGTAGTCGGGTTGGATTGCGATACACACTCAATTGCGGCTTCATCCTCATCAGTACACGTTGGCTAAGGGTGAGAAACGCACTCCGGTTAATGTGCCGCAACACAAAAAAGATAGATTTGACATTACAGACTACTAAAGCTGAAAAGATAATTGCTAAAAGCACATTATGCGTTGGGTTTAAGGTCGTTGATAAAGGAGGAAGCTAAATGGGAGCGGATGGACAAAGGGACTCAACACCCCTGATGTAACTGCCGAGGCACTGGCGGTAGAGGTTTGCACTTCTTTCACGCAATTCAAAATTGTGTTAGTATACAGAAGCCCCGAAAGTACGTCAAGCAGGCTCATTGATTTCATTCGTACTCATACGACAAACAGATGTCTGGTTATGGGTGATTTTAATGTTCCTGAGGTTGATTGGCGCAATTTCTGCACTGCAGCGTCTGGACGTTTTTCTAACGATCTCCTTAACCTATCCTTACAAGCATCCCTTCATCAGTTTGTACAAAGCCCAACTAGGTTCATGGAGGGCCAAAAGCCTTCCATTTTATACCTCATCTTTGCGAAATCGCTAGATTTTGTACGAGATGTAGTGTATGATTCCCCCTTGGGCTCCAGTGATCTCGTCTGCCTCTTATTCACATGCGCCTTAAGTCGGGGACGTGAAGAGTGTATGGTCAGAACGCCAAATATCTGGCGCGCTGATTTTCAAGCCATCAGGGAAAAGGCTGCAAATCAACCCTGTATCGTGTCAGAGGATGACACCGTCCAGGTTGCTTGGGACAAGTTCAAATCCTTTCTTTGCGAGATTTCCCTCCCCCACCTTCCAATCTCAGCGAGGAATAAAGTGGGGGCAAAGCCCCCTTGGTTTGACTCTGAGGCGCGCAGGATGCTCAGTAGGCGATCCAGGTGTTGGAGGACTTATATATCAGCTCCCTCAGAAAGTACCCATCGTCGCTACCGAGGCGTGCGAAATGCATGTAAACAACATCTGCGGGCCGCACGCTTGAGATATGAACTAGCGCTAGCTCGATCCGCATCAACAAACGCGAAACGGTTCTTTGGCTATGTCAAACGGAGATGCAATGCAAATTCGCCTATCCCTGTGCTCTTTGGACCTGACGGCACTGAAGTATCAACCGATCAGGCCAAAGCCTGCTTACTTGCAGAACAACATGCTAGCTCGTTTGTTCATGAATCCCCATTGCCTAATATCCAATTGCAAGCAAAGATACCAGTAGACTCTTTTCTGATGGACCTTTCCATCTCGGAAGCTCAGGTACTCAAGCTCCTGCGTGACCTAAATCCCACAAAAGCTGCCGGGATAGATGCCCTCCATCCCAAACTTTTGTACGAGCTGGCGGGGTTGCTATGTAAACCGATTAAGTGTATCTTTGAGAAGTCTCTTCGAAGCTACTCCCTACCTGCTGACTGGGGAGATACTATCGCGTGCCCTATTTTCAAAAAGGGTGATAAGCACTTACCTGAAAATTATAGACCGGTTAGCCTAACAAGCGTACTAGTGAAAGTATTAGAGAAGCTTGTAAGAGATACTCTGGAAAAGCACTTAGCTAAGTTCAGTTTGCTCAGCCTGTCTCAAAATGGGTTCCGCAGAGGCCACTCCTGTTTGACTAACATGTTGGTAGCCCGAGAGTGCTGGGCTGAGGCTGTGGATCAAGGACAGGCAGTGGATGTGTTGTTCATTGACTTTTCTAAAGCCTTTGACACCGCTCCGCATTGCCGTCTTTTGTTTAAGCTAGAATCCTACGGCGTTTCAGGCCAAGTATTGAAGTGGATTTCGGCTTTCCTGGAAGGAAGGCAGATGAGCGTCCGAGTGGGTTCCGGGCTGTCTTTCAGACAAGCCGTTCTGAGTGGTGTTCCTCAGGGGTCGGTTCTCGGACCTCTACTGTTTGCATTGTATGTCAGTGACCTCCCTGAGAAGCTTAAGGTGTACCATCCCTTATGTTTGCGGATGACTTAAAATTTTGGAATACAATGAGCGATTCTGTTGGGCCCACGGCTTTACAGACAGCTCTCGACAAGCTTTGGGATTGGTCAGAATTGTGGCAGCTGCCAGTCAATCTTGCAAAGTGTTCGGTCCTGCGCATAGGATCAAGCACTTCCACAACTTCTTACGCCCTTGGCGGAAATGTATTGCGTCAAGTGACTGAACAAACCGACTTGGGTATCTCGTTATCCTCTGACTTCAAATCCAGTGAAAACTGGACAAATACTACCCGCAAGAGTTTCCGAATGCTGTGGATGATCCGCAGGGCATTCGGCATTATAACAAATGAAATGTTCGTTATATTGTTCTCAGCCTTCGTCAGGCCATACTTGGAGTACTGTGTGCAGGCCTGTTCTCCATGCTTGGTACGCGATAGGATGACACTTGAACAAGTTCTGAGGGTTGGTACAAAAATGGTACAAGGATTGAGTCATCTCTCGTATCCCGATAGGCTGCTCAGGTTGCAGATGTTTTCGCTGCACTATAGGCGCTTTCGGGGAGACCTGATTCTTACGTCGCAACGAGACTGGACCTTAACGTGGTGCGACGGTTTGCGTACCTCATTGACCCATTGAGCTATACTGGGTGATGCCTCCGAGCATCTTGAGAGCTACTCCTACCAGGTTGGTCAATGGTGAGAGGTCGGACAAACTCAGTCTCCTGGTCCTCCAGGTTAGGGGTTTAAGATGGGATGGCGTCCATTTCTGTACAACTAAATCACTGCCACCCCGCTGCCTTGCGGACAGGCTTTTGAGCCAAAGGCTTTGGATGAGGACCCTAATCGTTCTCCTGTCTAGGTCTGGGCGCCCTGGCAGTATCCCAGCCCACATACAACCATGACATTTTCTTCAAACATAAATTTCATCCTGCATCGGCCGTCGCGCAGATTATCAAGGGTCGCCTTATCTGCTGCATACAGCAGGGCGGATAAGCGAAAGCATGCTACTGCTGGCGCCTCCCTTCTTTCTTTTCCACCTTTTTCTCTTACTCCCATCCCGGCCCCCATTACTAACCTCCCTTCTATAATTCCCAGCTTAATTGACAGCAACCGGAGTGCTACTGGAGTAGAACCATCTGCAGCCACCATCCCACAGCACCTATCGGACGCCTATCGGCAAAAGTCCCTTATAAGACCACGCTGTCCCGTTTCCATGGCGACCTTCAACGTCCGCACTCTAAGACAAACAGGTCAGCAGGCTGCACTCGCACGCACCTTGGACACACTGGGTGTTGATGTGTGTTGTGTGTCCGAAACTAGGATTAATGACCCTAACGGGGTTATTGAATTGACTGCACCCGGTTTATCCTCTCGTTATTGGTTGCACGCATCCGGAGACGCCGATGCGGCACTCACCGGTCAAGCTGGTGTAGGTATCATTCTCAGCTCCAAGGCTGAGTTATCGTTGGTTGATTGGATTCCGGTGAACAGTCGTTTATGTGCAGCCCGTTTGACGACATCAGCTAAGGTGAATTCGCGAAGTAAAACAAAACGCTGTTTGTTTGTGATTTCTGCTTATGCTCCCACGGACTGCAGTTCTAATGCAGTCAAGGACACTTTCTATCACGAACTGAACACGCTGCTACGCAGTGCTACTAGTTCAGATATTATAGTACTGTAGTGCCTTGGCGAATGCTACACAAGAAAACCGTAGCCCGGTGAGACAGGAGACGGTGGGATATAAAGATTGTCTTGAGAAAATAGCTATGTGAATATAGCTTGAGGAAAATGGGAGAGAGTGGTGAAGCAATGAGTAACACCACGTAGGAACGCAACAGCCGGCAACGCGCGGACAAGATGGCGAACACGGTTCAAAATTGCAGTCCAGTATATATAGGCTTGGGATGGGTGCAAAGTAAAACAAAATGTGCACAAGTCTGAGTGTGATGTTTGATGGGGTAAAATGTCATGGTCACTACACAGGCCTCCCCCTAGAAGGCCGAGGGACGAGGACTTCGATCGCTGTTGGCTTGCAAATGTATAAAGGCAGAATCACAGGAGTTCGGTTGTATTTGGATTATTTAATCTTCTTGTGGATTGGAATGCATCATCGGTGGGCCGTCCCAGCGGGCACACCGGACTACAAAAAAACTGGATAATCCAGAAAAAGGGCCGGTAGGACCTTTCACCGCTGCTGAAAGACGGTGCGCTTGGGAGAGGTCACTCCCCCCACCGCATTCCAATCCACTGCCAAAACGAAGCTGAAATCCTGTGCGTACCGGCGAGCCGTGGGGGGACCAAAAACAACGAGCCAGGCACACGAGCAGCCAAAGCCAGGAACGCGAGCCAGACAAACGACCAAGGCGAGCCAAATTGAGCCAAGCAGACCACGATCCAAAGGCCAACGTGGGCGGGCGAGACGACAAAGCGTTGGGGGTAGCCAAAGCATCCAAACGACCAAACAATTGAGAAACAGCCAACCATTGAACGGACGGACCCAAACGTGCCAGCCTCATGACTTTACCTGATAGATGGGGGAAAAAAACTCGGGGAGACAGATTCAGATATTTACGGAAAAGCATAATACAAACAACGAGAGAAAATGAAAAAGATTCATGAGGTGTGGATGAATTCGACAAAATCAGAGAAACGAACAG